GGGCAGAGCCTAAATCCTCTTAAGATCCTACTCCTGTGTGTTGACGAAGACTGAATATTGAAAATTCCCAATCAGTCCAGAGGGAGGATTGCACAAGTGTGTGTGTCTGTGTGTGTGTGTGTCTGTGTGTGAGACCTCCGAAATTCCAAGGATTCTAAGGTTTACCTTTAACGCAGTTGTCAAGATTACCGCAGGGGAGTGCGGCACTTGCATCCTACCACACTATACGAAGCTGTGGATGCAAGTGGGAAGCGAGATCTGATCAGTTTTGTGTACCTGCAAAACAACATGGTGCGGCATGGGCACTTTAAAGTGCAGCTTGTGGCCATACTCAAAGTCAGGCCCTTTTCCTTTTGTCGAAATAAGGTTTTCAGGCAGTGACGAGCGCAGCAGTACATGTCGAACATGCCCAGCTACAGCGGTGATCTCTGTGCATATTACAAGCATGTCCCTTCGTGAAGTGCAGGAAATAGATCCACCAGTGGTGTTGCTGCCACAGTTTGGTGTTGTTGGTTCGGGAAGCATACTGTTGAGCCAAGAGCTTGAAGAAGAAAGATGCATGTGTATATGTGAGTGATGTGCGTTGGACCTTGTTCATTTCGTCAAATTTCATAACAGGCCAAGACCTCCAACAAACCCTTTGAATACTGCATTGATGCAGATGGGAGCTGAGACTCTTTCAGCTCAACTTTGTTGGGTTGAGAACCTTTCAAGTGTGTGTCTCTGTGTGTGTGTGTGTGTATGCAAGAGTGTGTCTTTGTTTCTTTGGGGCGTGGCGTTTTTTGTTAGTTATCTTTTTGGTATTTGGGGGACCGGTCTCAGGGGCCTTTGGAAAGTTGATATCATCTTGCCTTACAAGGGCACAATATCCGCAAAATGGCGTTTGAAGTAATTTCCAAGATGTCGACATGTGTATGGCATACCTAAGACGGACAGGACTGACTATTCAACATTAACAAATCATTTACATAGCTTACACTGTCACCTGGGACCTTAGTATCGTCATGTTAACTTCGCAATTATTGTCATTTTGGTATTCGTATGACAGGTACTAAAAAGTAGTAAAGTAGCACCACCCTAATATGTGTCGCCGTCATCACAACCATCGAGCTCATAGTATATTTGTGTTGGGCACGGTAACTTGCGCAGAAACATTCACTTGGTTTCCTGTCAGATGCCAAGGTGCTGACTTTTCCTCACCGCTCTCCAGCTGTTGCCATGGAGCTCGTGCAACAAGTGAGGCTAGCAAGCACGAGTGCATGAAATTGGCTCTCTTGAGGGCTGGAGGTGTAGTTGGTTTATAAACTTTCGCTTGCGCGCCGTCAGCGCAACGACTGAGCCACCCCTCTGCACCTGTTCCCATTCTCAAGACCTGCAGAGTGGATCCCTTCCACGCACCACCAAGAAAAGGAGGTCTATGGGTGGTTTGTTGGAGTTTCGCAGCTTGCCCGTTGCTCCATAAGTGTTGCTGCAACGACATTACTTGAGAATTGTCTTGTAAGAATCATCAATGCAGGGCTGCCATGCGAGAGCGTTAAACTGGTGATCGTTGAGCAGTTGCCTGATAAAGGCTTCGCACGCCCAGGCAAAGCGAAGCTGGTCAGCTCAACTTGCTTCAGTGGCAGGAATCCATGGCCATGTTCTAATCCATGGCCATGGTTTCATTTTCAAGCATCAGGGCTTATGCTGTGAGTCCGCTATGAGCTGGTAAGTCATCAACTCAACACCTCAGAAGGCGTTTGCAACGAGAATTCTTGATAGTTATTAGCTTCGCACCTCAAAGTCCCGACGTTTCTGTACAGCTTCGTTTCTTAAGTAGTGTACTGTTGTGGCATGAAGCCCGTGCATCCCGTAATCAATCAGAAGAGTTCTTTTCCATGACGCATGGGTCGATTTCTTTGTGTCGCGCTTTAGCACGCTGCTGGGCACGACCAAGACTTTCTCGATTTCACTGCCTATCATTTGTGCTGACACATTCCACGGCGTGGCTCCAACAAGCTCACTGCTGCCCCGTAGCTTAATTTTTTTTGAAGGCATTTCATCTTGTGGCACTTCTGCAATTGTGTTTCTTTAGGGACATCAAGTGGATCATTTGTTGAATGAGCTTGTTTATGGAGTCGCGCACTGTTGTGGCATGAAGCATTCGGAATGGCGATTCCGCAACAGGCGGGTTATGCAGGTTATGCATGCGCAGTCGCCTCAGATCGGCTCACGCTTGGGCACGACCAAGACTTTTTCGAATTCAATACCTATCACTTGTACTGACGTATTGTTACCGCGCGGCTCCAGCAGTGTCCGTGCTCCACCGTAACTTTGTCTTCCATGACGGTAATATTGAAGATGCTGCGTGCCATATGCTGCGGCACTTCTGCAATTCTGTTTCTTTGTGAGGGAAATCAAGTGGATCAGTTTTTGAATGAGCTGGTTTATGGAAGAATGCACTGTTGTGGCATGAAGCATTCAGAACGGCTGTTTTCCGCAACAGGCACGGCGATGTCTTTGCAGGTCGTTATGCATGCTCAATCGCCTGAGATCATCTAGGGACTTTAGGAGGGACCCCTAATAGGGACCCTTAATCCCATTACCATATATAACCCTTATATAATCATTATATAACCCCTATATCCCTAGGTAGTCCCCATATTAACAATCATAAGCTACAAGGGTCCCTATTAGGGGTCCCTCCTACAGTCCTGAGAGATCAGGTCGCGCTTGGGTGCGACCAAGACTTTTTCGAATTCAATACCTATCACTTGTACTGACATATTGTTACAGTGCGGCTCCAGCAGGGTCCGTGCTCCATCGTAACTTTGTCTTCCATGACGGCAATATTGAGGATGCTGCATGCCATATGTTGTGGCACTTCTGCATTTATGTTTCTTTGTGAAGGAAGTCAGGGGAGCACTTGCTGAACAAAGCAGTGATCCACTGAGAAGGCTACGCCCATGGCTACCAAGCTCCAGAAGATGCTAGAAGTCTTTCCGAGGGCTTCTGCCCCTTGATAGTTATCAACTTCATACCTGAAAGTCGTGACGGTTCTGTACAGGCTTTTTTATGGAATAGTGTACTGTCATCGCATGAAGCCGTCCTGCATTTCCGGAAGCAATCGGAAGAGTTGTTTTCCGCGACAGGCTCGTCGATGACCTGGCGCGTCGTTTAAGCATGCTAAAGCTGGACATACCCTACCTTCTGATTCACATCACAAGAGAAATGTTGATTGCTTGGTATTGATCGGACCTCTTGCCCTGATTTGGTATGGTCTGGTCCACTCCTTAGAATTTCGTTGACTATCAGCTGGCCGACACATTGTGACCGCTTGCTGGCAAAAGCTCGATGATGCCTGATGAGGTTCAGATCTCAGTATCGGTTTCATGCATACAAGCTGCGTGATTTGCATGTCGCGGCTATCTTCCTTCGTTCTATGCCCATCAAGGCGTGGGGGCGGTATGTGTCAGTCAGGGTTTCTGGCCTTCCTTTCGTTTTTGCCAGCGCTCTTTCGAAATACCCACATATTTGTAGCCTCACAGTCTTGCAGGTAATGCAGATAGGTAGCTACGTTAGTCTAACAAAGACGCCGTTAAGTGAAGTTATGTCTCAATTGTTTTTTGTTAGTTTTTGGCTTCGCAGCAGCGTAGCATAAGTGATTGGCGTGATACGTAACATGGTCTGCGCATGTGCTAGAAGGGAGATCGCGCATAGGCGTACAAACTCCATGAGACAGAATTTTGGCTCGCAGTTACCTGCCCCATCATCATGCTTAAGCTCAGCGAATCATACCGGTTGTCACCACGTCCCTCTTCCAGAAGTTGCATGGGCGATCTTCCTGTGCGTTTGCAGTTGGTGTGAATATTCCTGCTCCCTGCATTGCCCCGTGCGGTGGGGTCGCGCGGCAATTTATTCCTGTTGCTGTTGGAGTGTCTTACAACTGTCTTGGCAGGCGGGGTCACGTAACAACTTCTTATGCTCCGTCCGTCTTGGTGTACCTCGGGGACCCGGGGTCTTGCTTGGGCCATGACCTTTGTGGGAGCTTGCCGTCCCGTCTGCTCCCTGCATGGAGGGTGCATTATTTTGCTTGCTCTTCTACAGACTCCTGCTAAGTCCTCACAATGCGTGCGGTCTGCACCGCCAAAAAAACACATGTTTTCGCAATCTGCTGGTTTGCAGCTAAGGCGCGGACTATTGAAGCCTACCGGGCCGAGATCGCAAAGCTGCGAGCGCAAATCAGCCAGCATACTCAGAGCATCTGGTAAATAGTGCCATCGGTAGGTTGATTTGCTTGATCGGCGTCAGGGGAGTTTCACGCTAATTTGCAGGTGCGCTTGCGGGAAGCGAGAAGCAGCACTCCGAGCGGGACTGCACTGGCTTGAAGCAAGAGTTGTCGTGGGTTTTCAGATGTCAAAGGAGCATACAGGAGGATAGGTGGATCGGCAGGTCAGGGATGTGCCGCCTTGTCAGGACTCTACAAGAGCGGAGGAGCTCCGAAGACTACGGGGAGATGCGGCGTCCTGAGCTTTGACATCAGTCTGTGCTACAACTGTTCGGACTATACTTTCACCGTGAACTTACCATACTGTACTATACTGTACCATCCTCTCCTCCACTTTGCTACGCCTTGCAAGGTAGATAGTCTCAGCCGTGAGAAGGAGGGCCTAGAGCGCATGGTCGCTGAGGCACATGCTTTGTCTGAAGCAGACACTTGTCAGACTCCTGGTCCCCAATTAAGTCCCTGTCATGCGGCTCCTGTACAACAGAAATTCTTATTGGGTTTGGGCACACATCTGTCGGATAAGAGCCGGAGTGCAAGACTGCCTGGAAAACGTCTGGCAGGGTGCGAAGTCCAAGGATGATCTCATCGAGAACTTCTTGTACGCCAAGGCTTAGCTCCATGATCCAGGTCCCAAGAGGTTTTAAGTTAAAGAACGAGGGCTTTCAAGAACACGGGCTCGTTTTGAAATATTTGCCCCCAACTATCATGATCCGTATTTTACATCCAGCCTCTGCTGCAGGGCTGCCTTGACAAGCTGCAGCTTGCCTGCATCGAAAAGTCGCCGGCCTGCTCGCCTGAACACGAGCGACAGGCCTGCCTGAGAAGAGGATGGCGACAGTCAACCCTCCGACCCCCCTAGTATTAGATACTCCACCAAGAAAAGTATTATATACCACAAAGGGGAGTATTTACTATTAGTCTCAGAGTGTTGCGGAAGGTGGCACAGCTGCGGGAGACCTACAACCAGGCCCTGGTCACTTTCATGCTGCTTACCGCCACTTGCTGCGCTTGCTGTCAAAGCTGGATTTTTTTTTTTTCTCTCTCTCTCTC